GTTCCCAAAGGGAAGCAGTAGGGACAAGAGTGGAGTTATTTCATTTGTTGATAGACGTGTAGCCCTGGAGATGGCAGAAGCTGCCCGAGAGAGCTGGAGGAACAGGGATATAACAAACTTTGAATATCTAATAATTCTCAATACGCTGGCAGGAAGATCATATAATGACCTAACACAATATCCTGTCTTTCCTTGGGTCTTGGATGATTACTCATCAGAAATTCTTGATTTCAATAAGTCATCAACTTTCCGGGATCTCTCAAAACCAGTTGGAGCATTGGATTCAAAGCGATTTGAGGTTTGTTTATTTCTCCTTTATTTTACCAGACAGCAGAGTGGATGCAAATGGTTCAACTTATTTTAAATCATCTTGGTGCTATGCCTTGCTAAATACAGGTGTTTGAAGAGAGATATCGGAGTTTCACTGATCCAGATATACCTAGGTAATACCCAAGCCAGTTTGAGGATGTAATGGTGCTCTGGAGTGCCTGGAGGGTTCTTCGTCTAACCATTCTAAATGTAACACGTATCGTTTCCTTGTGCAGTTTTTACTATGGGTCTCATTACTCAAGTATGGGCATTGTGCTTTATTACCTTCTTCGTCTAGAGCCTTTTACTTCTCTTCACAGGAATTTGCAGGTAGTCATGTTTGTGCCATCATTCCTTTTAAGTATCTTAACCAATAATATGTCACATTATCTCTCTCTCTCTCTCTCTCTCTTTTCTTTGTTTTTACTTCCCCAGTTTAACGTTCTCAGAAATTGTGAAGTTAATAAATCTTCATGTGATACCATGCTTCATTTTGAACGGGTGAATTCACAAGATGATCTATGATTTTTCTTTTTTAATGAATAGCATTGTTTATACCCATTATTCCCAATGGATGCCTTTTGACTTAAGGTTTTAACCTTAGCGTTTCCTTGTGATTGTTGGATCTCTCTTTTTTTTTTGGTTGAAATTTGGGATGAGAACTTTCGTGCATTAGAGAATCATTAATATGATACTTTCCGTACATTATTCTTTTGCATTTATTCTCATGTATACTGTGACTCATGGTTCAAGTAATTTAAAATATTGTCTTTGTCAGGGTGGTAAATTTGACCATGCAGATAGGTTGTTCCAAAGCATTGAGGGCACATATCGGAACTGCCTTTCCAACACAAGTGATGTAAAGGAGTTAATACCTGAGTTCTTTTACATGCCAGAGTTTCTTGTCAACTCAAATTCTTATCATTTAGGGGTGAAGCAAGATGGTGAACCAATTAGTGACATTTGTCTTCCTCCCTGGGCAAAGGTATGTACATTTATCACAATCAGTTAAGACTGCAGAAAGCGACAATCTTTTGACACATGAAAATTGAAGTGTATTTTTGTCGCTTTGTTGTTGTTGTTGTTGTTGTTGTTGTTATCGCTGTCGTCGTTGTCGTAGAGAAGTTTTCCCAATTAACCTATTTTTTAAAATATCACTTCTAGCATTTAGCACAATTTTGCAAGTTTAGTATAAAAAGTATTTAGCTTGTTTTGCAACCTATACAGTAAAAAGACAAAAATATCATTAATCTTTTTTTAACTCTTGACCATTCGATCCCCGTTATTCTATAAATTGAATTTTGTATTCTTTTCTTATATTGAGATGTGTACTTGATACATACTGGCAAATGAGATTTCCTTTTCCCCTTTAATTTTTCATGTTCTAATTTGCCTTCTAAAACTTAGTTCTATATATTACTGCAGGGCTCACCTGAAGAATTTATTAATAAAAACCGTGAGGCCCTTGAAAGTGAATATGTTAGCTCAAATCTTCATCACTGGATAGATTTGGTGTTTGGGTACAAGCAGCGTGGGAAACCTGCAGTGGAGGTAGATTTTGAAATAGTCAAATAATTTCTATTTTGATTAGCAAAATATATTATCTATTTTATCTTTTTTCCTTTTAAATTTGACTTTGTTGATGCGCATCTCTTACATATTACTGGACTCCTTGTACAGGCAGCAAATATCTTCTACTACTTAACTTATGAAGGAGCTGTGGATTTAGATACTATGGAAGATGATCTGCAAAGATCAGCTGTAGAAGACCAAATTGCAAATTTTGGCCAGACACCTATTCAGATTTTCCGCAAAAAACACCCAAGAAGAGGACCACCCATTCCGATTGCTCATCCATTTTACTTTGCACCTGGTTCTATTAACTTGACTTCCATTGTATCTAGTACAAGATATCCATCATCGCCAGTACTATATGTTAATATATTAGACTCGAGTATTGTCCTTGTGAACCAGGGGATCTCATTGTCAGTAAAGATGTGGTTAACAACTCAATTGCAATCTGGTGGAAATTTTACCTTTTCGGGCTCCCAAGTACGATTTCACTTCTTTTATTGGTATCAATGGGTTAGTAATCTATTGATAGGATTATTTAGGATGCAGAGTTGCTAATTAATTTGTCAAATACTTGCAGGAGCCCTTTTTCGGTGTTGGTTCTGATATTCAATCTTCTCGCAAAATTGGAAGTCCTTTGGCTGAAAATATTGGACTTGGAACACAATGCTTTGCAACAATGCAAATGCCATCTGAGAATTTCTTGATCTCATGTGGCAATTGGGAGAACAGCTTCCAAGTTATATCCTTGAATGATGGCAGAATGGTACAAAGCATCAGACAGCATAAGGATGTGGTCAGCTGTGTGGCAGGTAACTTTCTAACTGGAAGACGGTTAAATTAAAGAACGTGTGGCAAGCTATAGCACTTCAAATTCTATTTCTATTCTACTTTTCTTTGTCAAATGAATCTGTTATAACCCTTGCGTAGAACTCATCCCCAAAAGCTAGCTTGTAGGGAGAGGGTGCCCAAGTGGTTATAAACCCACATGCTAAGCCCATACTTTAGCAATGTAGGACTCAACCACCACCACGCTTCCGACACCGATGTCCACAGCGGCCCACTCTAGATGGCCCACTCTAGCCTTTCCAGGGCTCCCTTTCCGCAACGTGGGCTGGAGGAGGGGCATGCTCTGATACCAATTGTTATAACCCTTGGGTAGAACTCATCCTCAAAAGCTAGCTTGTAGGGAGAGGGTGCCCAAGTGGTTATAAACTCACATGCTAAGCCCATACTTTAGCGATGTGGAACTCAACAAAGATCCTAACAGAATCATGAAGGAGCTGAAAAGTATGGACTAAGAACACTTAGCAAGCTATATGGTACCCGCAACTCATCATCTCCTGATGGAATACCAAGACCTTTCCCATTTTTTTCTTTTTCTATTGTAATTAAGTTTTTGGGTGTGCGTATGTGTGTTTTACATCTATTTCTCTCCTTTTGAATATTGTTGGTCATAATAGGTCTTTATTTATGGTAGTGATGCTTCTTCAAGTTTTTGACGTGTTTGAGTGCTAAACAATGATGCTGCAGTGACTTCTGATGGAAGCATCCTGGCCACTGGAAGTTTTGACACTACAGTTATGGTATGGGAAGTTGTTCGTGGAAGAAACCCAGAAAAGAGAGTTCGTTCTACACAGACTGAACTACCCCGGAAAGATGCTGTGATAGTTGAAACTCCCTTTCATATTCTTTGTGGGCATGATGACATAATTACGTGCTTATTTGTTAGCATGGAGCTTGACATAGTTATTAGTGGGTCAAAAGATGGAACCTGTGTTTTCCATACTTTAAGGGAGGGAAGATATGTAAGATCTTTATGCCATCCAAATGGCTGTGCGTTGTCCAAGCTTGTTGCCTCTCAGCATGGACGAATTGTGTTTTATGCAGACGATGATCTCAGTTTGCATTTGTATTCAATTAATGGTAAACATCTTGCGTCTTCTGAATCTAATGGACGCCTCAACTGTATTGAACTGAGTAGATGTGGTGAGTTTCTGGTCTGTGCTGGGGACCAAGGGCAGATAGTTTTACGATCTATGAATTCACTTGAGGTCATAAAAAAGTACGATGGAGTTGGAAAGGTGATTACATCTCTTACAGTGACCCCAGAAGAATGCTTCATAGCTGGAACCAAAGACGGAAGCCTACTTGTATATTCTATAGAAAATCCTCAACATCGCAAAGCTAACGTCTCTCGGACTTCCAAATCTAAACATTCTGTAGCGGGATAGAATGACAATCCAGGTTGGAGCCATGGAGATCTTTAGACTGATACTGACCATGATGTAGGAGGTATGCTGCATCCCTCTTTTTAAGCTTTTCGTTTGTATTCTGATAAGATTTGGTGCTTACTAGGTATTAGTGTCTTGGCAAATACTTGTTGGATCGAAATTCCAGTTACTTTGAAAACCGTCATTGATGTCCATTGTAAAGTAACTAGTATTTTTTTTAGAGATCTTTTGTGGAACACTATACAAAATGACTGAACGATAAATTGTGGTCAATGATTCATTCCCTCCCTTGGACTATGTAAAAAGACATGTTTGACGTATCCTTGTTGACAATAGGAGGGTGTTCCTTCAGACTTTGTTTGAATATAAAGCGGATTCCTGAGTTGTCAAGTTTCGTTCTTTTTAATCCCACTTTGCAGGAGCATACAGAAAGACGCGAGAATTTCTTGCTGTCTTTGTTAAATGCCGGGTTGTTCAGACCAAATTTCTTGCGAAGTTGGTGAAGGGATGCATGATGTTCAAGTGGCATTACTTGAAGTATTTGGAAGCGTATTTTAAGTTCTGCTTCCTATTGCAGCACATGCCAAGCTCGAGTAATTGTCGAGGTGAATGCTCTCAAAATAGCGCAGAGATGGAATGCTACCTTTTGCAATTTAATTCTCCTCCATTTTGAGGGATGGTGGTACATATTTGTACATTGCTTTTGCCTAAATAGATGAGATTAGGAGTGTTGTTGTATTAGCAACCACAACCTTCCATTTCTGGTATTTTACCCCTTATAGCAAGTGTTTGAACTCCCAAATTGTGTATAGATTGGGTTCAATGCAATTTCTTCTAATCCAATATCTTTATTTATTTATTTATTTTTTATTTTATTTTTAACTTTCATAGATTCTCCTAGCCCCGGATGATTAACAAGTTTACGTCTACAATGATGCGAATGCACGCAGGCATTCTAACAGGAAATAATTAGCGAAACCATATTACGCAAGCATGCAACAAAAAACATAATAGTCCAACTGAAGTCCTCTTATTCTTTGCGTAGAGAAAAAACTTTAGACAGTTAGAGCAGTGCCGAGAGCTATACACCATATATTATGAGTACCAATTGATAATGCAACTTCACACGTCTTTGACGTAAAAACCACCCCACCTTCTAATATGGTTTACTTGTGTAGTCAGCAGATTATAACGCCAATTGTTCTATAATATGGTTTACGTGCAAATTATGACTTATGATCTCTTTCTACTCTCCTTGAGATAACTTATGAACTCGTCCAAGTGACTATCATTTTTGTTCCTATCTCCAAACAATCCCTTCATTTCCCTTGCTTTGACCCTAAATGACTCGCTGGACTTGTCCACCATGGCCGATCGCACCGACTCGGCCACTGAGTCACTCGTGAATGACCCGTCCAACTCGTTCCTCGGTATTTCCACTCCGAGTCCCTTCTCACTCAATAGCCTCGCGTTAATCCCTTGGTCATTCGCCATGGGAAACATGACCAAAACTCGGCCGAATGCAAGTCCCTCTATAACCGAGTTCCAACCACAATAGAATCCCCCGACCGAGTCATGATTCAGTATCCTCACCTGTGGGGCCCACCCTACGTAAACCATCCCACGGTCCCCGACCCGCTCCAAGAACCCGTCAGGCAACAGCTCCAACACATCCCGGTTCAACTCGGGCGAGCTCCTTAGCACCCAGAAGAAGGGTAACTGGGAACGCTCCAACCCATGAGCCAATTCACTGAGTTCACCTGGAGTCAAACTCGCCTCCGACCCCATTGCGACGTAAATTACGGAACTACCCTTCCATTTGTCCAACCACTCCTTAATCCCAACCCACTTCCCGTCACCTTCGACGTCCTCTTCCTCCACCACCGGAGGCAAAAACCCCGCCGGGAAAACCCGCCGCTGGTAAATATCTCCGAGCAAATCCAACCACTTCGGTTCAAACTCTCTACAACTCCTCACGGCCACAACCTCGCTCTCGACCACGGCGAGCCCAAAGCGCACCGTATCGGGCGTCAGCGAGAGGCCTTCCACGTCTCCCTCTCTATCCACATGCCTCGCGATCTCGTGAACCCGATACACCAGTCCGGATTCGAACGGGACCCACTCCGGGACCACCGTGAAATCCTCCACCAGCGATCTCCCCCTCCCGCCGTCGATCAGCGCCGACGGTGGGCCCACGAAGGATAGCCACGCGGCGTTGAAGAGAGAGAAGAACGCGCGAGACGCGCCGAGCTCGGCGGCGCGGCGGGGGAGCCAGTAGGAGGCGTAGTCGTGTAGAATCCAGTCGGGTCTGGAAGATTCCAGAAAGGACGTTACGTAAGGTTCTAGAAGGTCGAAGGCTCGCTTGAGGAGCGGCTGGGCTCGGAAGGGGACGTCGGAAGCGGACTCTGCGTCGGAGGGCAGATTGGGGATTTCGGGTAAAGGGAGGGAGATGAATGTGAGGGAAGAAGAAAGGTGTGGGGGTATTTTGGGAAGTCTATGGATATTTTTTGGTGTTGAGAGGAACGAGACTTTGAGACCCTTTTGAGTAAGCGTTTTGAGAGGTTGAAGAATGGTAGTAAGTGGCCCATTGCTAGCCATGGAAATACTACAACGTGTAGAACTTGTCTGCTATTTTCCATGGGAAATCACAAGTTTATGTGCTTGAGCTTATGTATAATGTATATATACCCTATGTATAGATACGCTACCCTCACCATATTTATGTGGGGTTGTGATGGAACGTAAAATAGTATCATTATAAAGATGGCAGAGTGGAATTTGGAGAAATTTGTTTCCTGTATTATTTTTTATTTTGAATTATAATTTATAATTTTTTATAATAATTAAAAAAAACACACATAAAATAAAAATAATTTTAAATTATAATTTTAAATTTATAAACTAAACATCTATTTAGATAGTACTGTAGATCAGAAGTTTGATTTTTTGTGACAAGTCATATGATCAACTTGCTCTGTATTATTTTTTATTTTGAATTATAATTTATAATTTTTTGTATTATTAAAAAAAAATACACATAAAATAAAAATAATTTTAAATTTATAAACTAAACATCTATTTAAATAGTACTGTAGATCAGAAGTTTGATTTTCTGTGACAAGTCATATGATCAACTTGCTGGGTTGCACACTGATTGATTGAGACACCCATGATTGTTTTGCCAGCAGATAAGAATTACATAATACATACGCAGGACAAAGTTAAACTTGCTTTTCAATCACGGAAGATTGATATTCTTTTCAACTCTTTTTTATGTAATTTGACATATTTTAGTCCTTTGGTGTATTTGGGCACTTGAATAGTGTACAGTTTCTAAAGTAGTAAACGTGTAGAAAGGTCAAGAGTATGGGCTGTGTTTTGAGAGGCTGGAGAATGGTATTAGCCATAGAATACTACCTGTAAAACTTGTCTCATATTTTCCATGGATATATTAATTGTAAAGAAGAGAAATCACAAGTTTATGTGCTTCATTCCTATTCCCCAATTCTTTAAGTAAACACACCACAAATAAACTCTCAAAGTACAATATCACATGCTCGTATACATACACATAGTATTTCATTCAACTTGCAGAAGTTTGAAAAGTGACAATACCAACAGAAACAAACTCGCTTCAGATAACTAGAGGGGAAAAAAAAGTGACTTTTATCATAGAAATTGTTGTCGTACCTTAGAAACTATTGTTTTAGTTATTGTATTAGTTTTTTTTGTTTTTTTTTTGTTTTTTTACTGATATAGTAATCACTAGTGGATTACCCGTAATAGTGTAATTAACAGTAATTTAAATAAATAAAACGTATAAAAACACACACACATATATATGTTTATAAGTTGTTGTACATCTGTAACATGTATATATATATATATACACATATTTATTTATATGTTTACATTTGTACATAAAAATATACATACTTATTTACATATGTACAGAGACTTATTCATGTAATTACTTCTTTTTCTTTTCGCTTGTCGTTTCTTCTGAGCTGCAGATAAGAAGGAAGAAAATAAGGAAATAAATATTATTAAATTGTAACAATTGTTAATAAACGTGTTCATACTTATTAAAATATTTAATATAACATATACCACATAATTTTACCTGATTTATTTTCTTTTTTTTGATGAACTTGCGAAAGAGGTAGATTCGTGAGGGACTGAAACAGATTGAATTGGCTTTGAAACTGATGATGTTTCTTTTGAAGACGCAGTTGTTATAGGTGGTAAATACAACTGAGGTTGATCGTCATTGAAAGTCTTCAAAATAACTTTATCAATAAAAGCTCTCCGAGTCCGAAACTGTATGACAAATATTTTTGATATTCCTCTTATTTCCTCTAAAATAGGAGGAATCATGTAGCGATCAGTGTATCCCTCATCATAAGTAAGTGTAGAGCAAGCTTTGTTAATAAGTGACTGCACAGTTTTACCAAACATTACAGCGTCTGTTCTTCCGGTGTTATCTTCAATTTGTATATTTATTTTGTACCTGTATAAGAAAATTAAATTATATTTATTGTATTTTTTAATAGAAAATTAAAGCGCTTGTTTTTTATAATAGAATTTATTACCAAGTAAGTGGCATTGTAGATAGATATCCATCGGTGTCACACCACCATGATGTTCCAGATTCTTGTACTTGTCTATAACACTTTGTGCAGGCATAGTAAAACCATCCTTGATGTGTATATAAGTCAGTTATAGTTGCTCTAACTGTATATTTTGTTTCCTGTTATGTAGAAAAGGGAACAGTTTAATTCAATAGATATACATATTATATTTAATGGACTATATTTATAAACTTTGTACCCGATTTTGGAATGCATCTAATGCTCATAATTCAGCGATGGTAATGCGATTTGTGTTTTTTTGGTCTTCTAATGATATTGCTGGCCTCACTGATGTAGCAACGTAATCCAAACTCTGAATAGAATGACGAAATCTATATAAAAAGAATTTGTTTTATGTCAATAAATGAAAATGAGAAGATACATATATGTCAACATTGAGAAAAGTGAGTATTTTTTGTTATACCTTTGTTTAATTCTTCGTGTTTCTGGAATTTCTGGATCTAAAAAGTAAAAAGTACCAGATGTGTTTGATAAGTAAAGACCTCCTGTAATAAATAGAAATTTGTAGTTAGTTTTGTAAAAAATTAGAATATAATATATTATAATATGAGTAATAACTTTGGTACTGTTTGGCTGCCATTGCTGTAAAAGCAATAACAATTGGTCCGTCATTGACCGCACAACAGTTTCATTGAAAAGTTCTCCCATTTCTCCCCAAAGCATTATATTTAGTTGTTCTTCTCTGTATTAAGTAATGGAAAACATGATTATAAATATTTAAACATAAATATTTTTTATCATTTATTATTATAATAATAATTTCTATTGTATTTACCTTATGTTCTGAATCGTGAAACTTCTTCTTTTGACAATTCTTTCACTGATAGCTGATTCTTCAATACCATGGAAGGATATGAGTCGACCATTACATCTGATACAAATATTACATATATAATCAATTAGTTTTAACAATTACAAAATGAGAAATAATTGATTAAAAATTATAAGTAAATAAGTAATAAAATAAACAAACCTGAGAGAATATCGTTTACATTGATCCTTTGAGTAATTTGATCAAATTCGACAAAAGTAAATTTTTGTCGAGGTATTTCAGGCATGTCTTCAGGAACATGTTTGAAAATTGTTGCTCTAGCTATCCGCAACATTGCCACATGAGGAACAATTTTATATCTTGGTTTGTTACGATCGATGAAGAAGTTATTAATATTTCATATATTTCCTTCTTCAATTATTTGACTCATGTAGTCAGCATCTCTTGATCGGATAACTGCATGTATTGCTTCGTGCTGTAAAATTGTAAATTAGATTTTCTATTGTTATAAATTGAATAATAAGTGTATATATTTCTATATATTTATAATTATATAATGTATAGAAAGAATATATTTGATTACCTCTTCATCAACCAACAATATATCAAGACTGATAAGTTCTCCTGTCTTGTAGTCTACATTTCTCCATAAGCGACATATTCGAGCACGAATAGTCAAGTGTGTTTCACCAGGTTTTAAGATTCTTAAAGGTGCAAACATCTTGTTCAAACTGAAAAATAATATAGAAAATATAAGAATTCATAATATATAAATGGAAAAGAATATTGTATTATAATAATTTGTAATAACACTTTAAAAATCATAGGATGATTTTATAAAATGTTATAAAATTATAGATATTATAAAATAATAATGGTATTATAAAACGTTAACAATGTAAAAATAAAATTGATAAAAATGATATTTCGTATATTGATTTAACTATTTAATTACAATATAATAAAGAGGCCATTTGGATTCATTTATAGTTAATTCTATTCTAGGTATATAAACTTTAATATTTGTATCAACAGAATTAATAATATGACCTTCAATAATTCTATTTGTTAATTGATTAATTATCAATCTAGTACCGTTACATAAACCTTGTGATTGATTAAGATTTCGTAATAACATAATAGGAATTCTGATTTTTAATTTTAATTCATGTGGTGGTAAATTATTAAAATTTAATGTGTGTAAAAATTTAGGAGGATATAATAGATTTAATTCATCAAGGTTTTCAGATGAGGAAATAATTGTATCGTAACTGTAATAAATTTTCTCCTCTGTAGGTATTAAAGATAACATATAATCATTTATTTCATATGTTGTTTTATTTCTAGGTGCTACAATTGCACGATTTTTTATATATTTAATATTATCATAATTACTTTTAAAATCATCATATACTACAGTGGAAATATGTTCAATCGGATTTTTATCATATTTTATCAAATATTGTTCAGGCATATTAATCCAAGTAGCATCTTCGTTTTCAGGATCTTTTATTCCATTAAGTGTTCCATTTCCAATATTTAGTATCCAATCAGAAAATTTTTTAATTTCAGTTTGTTCATCAATAGAACTGTTTGGAATTTTTAATCTCATATTTTCTGTCAATGTTAGTACACGGAAATATGGCCAAAGATAAGAATTATTAATACTTGCATTAATAATGTTTTCTTTTGTGCCTCCTGGAATAACAGGTAAAATTTGTCTAAAATCACCACCTAAAATAACTGTCATTCCTCCAAAAGGTTGACTGAAGTTATTTCTCAAGTCTTGCATTGTTTTATCTAAAGCTTCAAAACAGTATTTATTATTCATTGGCGCTTCATCCCATAATATTAAAGTTGTTTTCTCTATTAATTTTGCTAACTGAGTATTTTTTTTAATGTGACATGTTGAAAATTTGTCAACTAAAAGAGGAATACGAAAACGTGAATGTGCTGTACGACCATTTGGTAAAAGTAATGATGCTATTCCAGATGATGCAACTGCTAATACTATTTCACCTTCTGATCTAATTTTGTTAATAAGTGTATTCCATAAATATGTTTTTCCTATACCTCCATATCCATATACGAAAAATAAGTTATCACAGGTTTTTTTAAGTGATTTTAAAATTTCATTGTAAATATAATATTGTTCATGGTTTAAATTATTTATTAAATTTATATTTTCTTCTTTTAGTTTTTTTTTTATCATAATTGAGTTCTTCTCTTAAAAGTTTATTATCTAAATCTTCAATTAATGATCCTGTTGGAAGTGATATGTTAAAATTTGTTAAAGAAGATGCATTTAAATTTAGTAATTTTTCTAAATCGTATAATACAAAGTTATATAAT